AAAAAAACAAAAAACAAAAGAAAAGGGGGTTGGAACTTGGAAGGCCTATAGATTGAGGGCCAACATTTTTTTTTTTTACTTTCAGGGTTTTGTAACTGAATTCCATCTCATCCCAGTTGCAGAATGGACAATGGAAGACAACAACAAATTAAACTCCTCACAATGTCGGATATACATAGTGCTTTTTTCCTCCATGTTGTTGACAGCCTAGCTACTCCGCACCTCCTTAGAAATAACCTTTACATGGCCAATAGATTAAAAGTTTGAGTTGGTGACTTAGTGTCGAAGTTCGATGACTCTTTTTATTTTAAAATAAACGATTAAATTTAACTTAATAAAAAAATATATTGTGCAATATAAATTGTTTTGAATTATGTAGCTTTAATTATTAAATGAGAATATGCATTTGATATTGAGGCTTGTTTTTTCGTTTAATAACATCTATTTTATAATGTAACGTTGTTTAAACTGTAAAACAATAAACTCTAAACTTAAAAAGGTCAAATTCCTTATTTGCATTTTATGCATTATTTTTTTTACAGTCAACACGTTATATAATTTTCACTCTTAGTCAATATTCTTTATAATTTGAAACATGCAAAAAAATTTTAAATTATGAATAAAGTCAAGATGGAAATAAAGAGTTTGAATATTAATTTTTGAGTTTTTTATAAGTTTTAAATTATGAAGAATGTTGATTAAAAATAAAAATTGTTGAAGATATTGAATGTGAAAAAAATAATGTGTATTGTGCAAATAAAAAATTTGACAAACTTAAAAACCAATTTATTGTGAGTGGAACAATCCATATCATATTCAAGCACACATATGTTTCTAACCTTTTTTTTCTTTTTTTCTTTTTTAAGATTTTAAGTTACACAATAATAAAAAGTAATAATCTTTTATATCCCTTCACCTCTCCTACATAATTACAACTTGAATTTACCATCTCTTAGGGCCTGTTTGGTGCAACTTGTTGGAGTTTTTAGTTTTTGTACTGTTCATGAGTGATAAGTTTAAATTTTTATTGGAATGAAAATTTAAGTTGCTTTTAAATAGATGAAAAAGTAAGTAAAAATGAAATTTATAAAAAAATTGAATTTACCATCTCTTAGGGCCTGTTTGGTGCAGTTTGTTGGAGCTTTTACTTTTTGTACTGTTCATGAGTGATAAATTTAAATTTTTATTTGAGTGAAAATTTAAGTTGCTTTTAAATAGATGAAAAAGTAAGTAAAAAGGAAATTTATAAAAAATTTGAATTT